CAATCAGAAGTGACGGGAAAAAAAACCACCTTAAGAAACAAGAGCGATGGTGACTCAATACAGGGTATGTGTGTAGAAAAAGATGCACAGAAGCCTAAGTAGGACTAAGAAGTAACAGTTTAAACTGTTACTTTACTGATTAGCTTTACTGATTTCAGAAAATGTGATTAGCCTTAATGAAATTTTTTTTAACACTTGAATACAGATTTGCTCAGAGCCCAAAATAAAATACATATTACGAACAGTCTTTACAATTCCTAAAAAGCAAACAAAACCTCTCCCACCCCAACCATCCTTCCAAAAAATAGGACGGAGGGAAGAGGAAAACACAGCTTAATGCAGAAAACAAATCAACCTGAAAAAAAGCTAGAAATAAGCATAATGTGTTAAATTTTACCAAAAGAAGTGAGGGAAAAGGAAGATAATCAGTCTAGTTCTCCAGAATTCCTTGACCTTAAGTGAGTTTTCTAAGAGCATGAAAAAAAAAAAAAAAAAAAAGTAAAGCAATTATGCCTTCTAATAAAGGGCTTGTATCCCATCCCATCAACAATTTATTCAAAAATAGGGACAAGACATGAAGAGATAATTCATCAAAGATACAGGAATGACTAAAAAGCACAGGAATATTTATCTTCCATATCATTAGAGAAAGGCAAGTTTTTAACTTTTCATGATTTTATCGTAAACCACTTTATACCCACTCAAATGTCTATTAAATAAGTGACCATGTGGATAAATGCAAGCCTCATAAATTATAGTTGTGCTAACTACATAAAAGTAGTACAGCCACTTTAGAGAAGTTTGTCAATTTCTTGAAAAGTTAAATGCACACACAGATGAGCCAATTCCACTCACAGAAATTAAAATGTATGTCCATACAAAAATGTATACATGAATGTTCATAGCAGCATATTCATAATGGCCAAAAAGTAGTAACCCAAATGTCCATGAAGTGGAAATGGATAAAATATAGTATATCCATAGAATGGAGTTATCATTCAGCTATAAAAAGGACGAACCTACTAATTCATGCTATGTTATGAACTCAACATCAAACTTAATGGTAAGTAAAGAAACCACAAAGACCATGTATGGCATGATTCCATTTTTATGAAATACACAGAAAAAGTAAATCTAGGACAAAAAGTAGCTAAGTGGTTGCTAGGGATGGAGTGAGGAAGGGGATTGGATACACCTAGGCATAAGGGACTCTTTCTGGGGATTATGGTAATGTTTGCACAACTTTTTCAAATTTACTAATAGTTACAATGGTGAACTTTATGGTATATAAATTATCTCAGGCTTGGGGAGGGGAGGTTATATGAAAAACAGGTACTGAGGTGAAAGGCAGTCTATAGGGCTGTGAAGAAAGATTACAGAGTGTCTAACCATGATTGCAACAAATAGTTGGCAGCAGGTTTTCTGTATGTAAACACTCTAGTCAAATTGTTCCACCTTTAAGATAGAAAGAAGTACTAAGGTAGTCACATACATCCAAGTCTAGCAATCCAGTCTCTCCACAGATTTAACTCAACTATTAACTTTTGACCTATTGGATTATCTTGACTTCATGGTTGTGATTTGGAAGCCTCTTTTCATGGACCCTAACTTTCAGTGGGATTCCCTAGGAATAACACAGTACCGAAAGGAGACTCAATTAAGTACCAGATTCTTTGTGAAAATCTTTAGTTTGAAGACACTTGAGAAGAAATGAAAGTGACGAGAATTTTTCAATTTGAAACTAAGCAAATTGTCTAAATCAGGCATATTAGGAGTAGAAATGACCCACTCCCATGTCTGGGGGGGGGGTAAAAACGCATTTCTAGAATAAGTAATTGCTTCAAGTATACTTTAATCACAAGAAATTTCTTGAAGGTAAACCTAACATCCTCTTATTGAACAACAAACTGAAGACCTCTCCATGGGTATTTCTGAAGTAGGAATGAAAATTCCTCAAGAGGAATCTTCTGCTCTACATTCTGAACTACAGATCCCCTGCCTTGGGCACAGGTTCCTCAAGACCATGAGGACTATGCACGTCCTCAGATGAAAACCACTACCTGTCGTGAGAACTGTCCTCCCCACCTTGTGACTGGGAGAGAAACATGGCTGATGTCATCATGCTATACTTTTAAAAAGGAGGTGACTTTTGTTAATACTGTCACTGTGAAGCAATGGAGTGAAATCTGACTCTCCACATTGTCATAGGTAGCAAATAAGCACCCTTCTTCATAGGTAGCAAATAAGCATCCTTCTTCAGATCTGTCAAAGGTTTTTATGGATGCACCCTCCACCCTACCCACCTTAATTTAAACACTTATGAAACACAAACCAAGAAAGGAAGCAGGGTGGGGGGAAAAAGATTAAGCCTCCCTGGAAGCTGGACAAAACCAAGATTTATTACCTATAATTAGCTTTACAGAATGCTCTACCATTTCTTCTTTAAAATGTTTCCATTTATCTTTCTCATCAAATGAGTATGTCATATCAAAAGAAAAGAACTGTATCTTAGTAAGGACTGTATGGGATCAAAAAAATAAAATAAAATAATCCTGGAACAGCGTCCAGTAACCATGGTCACACATTTAATTAGAGATCCAGGACTCCCTGGGGCTCTGTAAGAGGAGGAAAATACCTAGTGCACTATAGATCATTTACACAGGGTATCCCCACACTGCCCTCTGGTATGATTAGAGGTCAGCTTACAAATGCATCTAGCCAAGGAATATAATCTCTTGGAGGCTACAGCTAAGGAATGGCGTTCAAGAGGGCTACATCACTGCTACCAAGGTTGCTAATTATGACAATCTCCCCCACCCCTGAACTCCTAGCAAGACTGTCCTCCCTAAGAAGGAAGCAGGTGACAGGGTCAGGAAAACAGGCACTCTGAAGCTGACTAAGATCCTATGGCCTGGACTCCAGCAAACAGTTGCCAAAACTAGTCAAGAAATGCACTGCCTGAAGAAAGGCAACTATCATTTTTTGAAAAGCAGGTCTCCTTACTACCCCCCACTGAGTTCCTTTGATTTGGACACTGGCTCAAACACTAGAGCGTCCTTCTTCAAAGAGGGCCTAATGACAGAAGTGATAGATGTCTGGGTTCCAACCTACAGAAAAATCCGTGGCTCAGGAATGTAGTTAACACCAAATTTAAATGTAAGCTGATAAATTTCTTGGTAAAACTCAATTAACTTGCTACCATTTTTGACGCTCTATTGTAGAAAAAAAGGGATCTATTAATTTCTTAATGAAACAGACTGCACATCCCATGAGAAAATAAAGTAACATGCCAGTGTATAAGAAAAAAGGAACTTCAGACCTGAAAACTTTGTAAAAATCTCAAAACATGACCACATAATTTACTGTCCAACCTGGGACACTTTAGGAAGTAACAGGTCATTGATACTGACGCTAGGACAAGTGAGATACACCAAGACTGTCCCAGGACACTGGGACAGAGGGACCCTCCGGAGTACAGTCATTCTAAATTCTTCAATGTGTCCGTTATCACTTGAGAGTAGATATCAAACCAACACAATTCATCCGGTAACTTGCACATACAGTTCATTACACTATCACACTAGATGAGACTACTGATTTTCATCCATCTTTCCAACGTTATGTCTCCAAACTCAAGGGCAAGAATCTCTCTGCAGGCATTACTGCTCTATCTCAAGGCTTACCACACACTAATATTCAGTAAATACAGTAAATATGTGGCTTAGTAAACTCAGTTATTCATTCTCCATCCAACTCATAACGTCTTATAGCAGATTTTGATTCATCCATGTTTTTTCTAGCCACATTCCGTATTTCCCAGTTGTTACTTCTAGCTATATAACTTTAAAGCTATATATTTATTTAACCTCTCTGTGCCTCAGTTTACTCACCAACATGAAAATCACAGCAGTATATACTCCACCATATACACAGGATTATTAGGAACATTAAGTGAGTTATTGGATATAAAGTACTTAAATAATGCCTGCCCTCCTAAGTATGCACTCAGCAATCTTCAGGCTGGAGATCTACCTTCTTTTTGATCGCCGCTGTATACTCACACCAGGAAGGAATAACGCCTGGCAAAATACACACTCTAAGTGTGCTAAAAGCTCAATGACATACAATTCTCTCATCTGTGTTTTTCTCCAGTACCCTGCGGTATCCTACCAGTCCTCTGCCCGAAGCACTATATCCCACACACGTCTCCCTAACGAAAACATGGTATTTTTTTTGAGACTCGAATAATTATCAAATTCACTATGCCAGCTGTTAGAACTTTTCCCTTAAAGGAGATGAAATGACACTCCTCACTTTCCTGCATACCGGCTGTTCAATTTTAAAGAGAGACAATGATTGGGCATTGGAAATGGGTACAGGAGCCTTTTAAGTCTAGGGCTGAAAGCAAAAGCTAATTGTCCAGGGCAGGGCTGGGAACAGAAAATGATTACTACTTCTTAAGAAAGGAAGATAACTACTTTAAGTATATACATTCAAACATACACTGTACACAAAGTTTCAAACCCTGTAATCATAAACAGTAATACAAACTCAGCTTACTTTTTAAAGTATAGTTTCACAAAATCAAAATTACCTAAAATTAAGCCCACCATTGTACTTAAATATCCGGTTCCACTTCCCAGGTTAAGAAAAGACAATCCTGGTTGAAGTTTCAATGCTTCCATAACTTCAGAATAAATGCAAGGTGCTGACAAGTGTATGTTCCCATGTTTCCAGGCTAAGTCTTTGTAAGCATTGTCTCGGTAGCCTTCCAAATAGTAATCTCCACGATCAATTGCTCTGAAGGCTTGTTCCACTCTTTCAGTGCGGATATACTGAGCTTCTTTTAAATTATCAATTAAGTCATCGTTATCTTCCCCAGCACTCACAGCTCCTCCCATGATAGTATTCAAATCAAATCATAAATTTTAAAATGTAATAAAATTAGCAGAAATGGCTTCCAATAATGTTGTGTGGTTTATTTTCCTTTTATTATTGCACTTGATTTCCAAAAATAAATTAATCCTGAAAAGGAAGAATAAAAATAAACAGGTTTAAATTAATGCCCAAAAGGAAAATAATTTCAGCTTATTAAATATATAATAGTCATTAGAACTATTCTTTATGAAGGACATACTCAGCTCCAGAAATAGCATTAAATTCCTTAAATGCCTTATTCCTGTAACAACCACAAAAGCTGGCTTCAGTATGAGCTTATATGTACAAATGAAAAATCCGAAATACAGAAAAGTTAAATCACTTCATGCTGTGAGGCCATAGAAGCCACTAGTCACATGCGGCTACCTAGACCTAAGCCAACTCAAATGAATTAAGTAAAACAAAAACAAACTTTTAGACTATAAGACCATATTATTAGACTAGAAGGGAAGAGCATAAACCAGCTAACAGGATACAAATGTATGGAGAAGGAAGGATTTAGACATTTAGTGGTGAACTTAACATAGTATCTGCAGATGGTACTTATGATGACATCTTCCTGAAAACTATATATTGTTATAAACCAATGCTACTTCAATAAAACATTTTAAATATATGTAATTCAAAATTCAGCTAATCACAGTAGTCACATTTGAAGTGCTTTTAAGTTATATGTGGCCAGCAGCTGCCATAATGCACACCAATGCTGCCACAGAAAGCAACACTGCCAGGACATAGTTGTTCTGATTCCAGAAACCAAGGTCTTAATCATTCAACCATGTGGCCTACTTTAGAGAACAATTAAGTCTAGCTTAATATGCATAAATTTTCTAACTTAAAATCTCTGAATTTAAATCCACTAACAATTATAAAATGCACACATAAATTCAAAATGTTTACACAAAGAACACGAAAACATTAATTCAAAAGGATACCTGCATCCCTATGTTTATTGCAGCACTATTTACAACAGCTAAGATATGGAAACAACCCAAATGCCCAAAAATAGGTCAATGATCAAGAAAATGTGGTATATATACACAATGGAATACTATTCAGCAATCAAAAAGATAAACGCATGCCATTTGCAGCAACATGAATGGAGCTAGAAGGAATTAATGCTCAGTAAAATAAGCCAGAAAGAAAAAGAAAAAGATGGTATGGTTTCACTTATAGGAGGAATATAGAGGAACTGAATAAGGGATCGGGGGAGGGGGGAACAATAAGTAAAAAACCAAAATTAACAGGCAACTATCAATCAGAGACATTCTGCAGGGAGAGGAAGGGAGAGGGATCAAGACAGGGAAGGGAAGAGCACAATGGACTAAGATGATAGTGCATGGATGAATTGGTGGGGACTAACTACACCTGAGAGGAGAGAGCAAACATTGTATGCAAAAAAACAACATGCAAATACATATATGTGTGTAATGTTTTAAAATGTTTACACAAAGAATAGTATCCTCCTTAAGCACTTAACATAAAATGTAAACAAAACCATACCCATATGCTTAATGTGTATGCATGCATATTTACATATGTATTTTAAGATAGCTTTACTTGGTAAACCTTGTCATGATAAATAAGACCATGATTTAAGCACTAAAACATGTTATACACACACAAACATGCACACACACACAAATATGAACTTTAACAAATCAAACTCAGCATTTTTCAACAGAATAGTAACTTGATAAAAATTTCTATACATACTAAATACATAATTTAAGTTTTATTCAACTACAGTTAGTGAGTTTAAGTTTCGATTAATTTCTGACAATAAATTAAAGGGAAAGAAACAAAATACCCATGGCCAATGCAAGAGTTATGACAGCCAACTCTCTGGTAAGACTGTACTCACTTTTTTTTTGTAAAGATTTATTTATTTATGCATAGAAGAACTGGGGTACAGGCCAGAAGTGTGAGGGGAGGTAAGAGGATTCACCAGACACAGAGTGGGGAACAGAACAGGCAGATCAACTGAAATACACTACTGAGGGCAGCAGCGAGCAAGTCAAGAGAGGTCTGCTGCGCCATGTGGGTAGCCCCCTGGCCGGTGACTGAACTCGTGCTGCAGCAGCTGCGAATAGCTTCATAGGTTGTGTCTTATCCCCCTGCGCCACGAGGGAGGCCCAAGACTGTACTCACTCTTGACTTCAGAGAAGTAACCACAGCTTTCCCAGGGTCCCAGCACTGAGCTCTTCAGCACTACCGGAGTCAGTCCCCCTAATCACAGCCTGGCTCATTATCTGTCTGTGTCCCCTATGTCTTTTCCAATTATCTCCTTGAACTTACAAATAGAGGAAATACTGTGAACTCATGTCACACTCCTACTTACCTTATTGAAACTTGCAAATTTGGTTGATTCCAATAGTCCTATCTGACATCCCCCACTCAAAATAGTGATTTCAAAAATACAAGGGCTTACAGCATCATTCTCGTCAATGACTATATTTCACAGCATGTGATTCAATGGGCTGTATATCACTGTTCCTTTTATGGCTAACTATCTGAACTCTTTATTTTAATATTTAAAGATTTTTTTTAAAGACATGGCCTTTAAACACAAGTACACTTTTTCATTTGGTACTCAGAATGACTGTTTCCCCAAAAGGTATGAAAAAAGTGGCTACACTAGATTAAGATAGTTTCAGTCAGTCTCCAGCGAGGCAACTGCCTGAGGATTTTGAGTAATTCTCACTATACATAGACATTCACCAAAGGTCTTTACTGAAAATGCTACAATTTACTAGTATGAAAAATAATTTACCTTCTGTTTGGTTCTAAGCCTAAAGAATGCATTAACCCTGCTCATATTCTTCTGAACTCTAACCTAACCAAAATTTGTAACAGCAAAACAAACGCTGACTTACTACGCAGTTCACATTCATGTGTGAGAAAGGCAAGAGGAAGATTCAAGTCAGTAAGAACTATACTGTACTAAGCCTTGTCTGTATATTACCTCATTAAAAATTACATTAAGCCCATGAAGAAGGCATTAGCATACTCACTTATAAGAAACAAACTATCTGTAAAAAAATGGGTGTGCTACAATGTGTGTGACCATTGCTACAGGAGGCTTAGAGGAACCCAAAGAGTGAATTAGAATTAGATCCAGGGATTAAGGAAAGCTTTCTTAAAGCATGAACTGTATCATACACTAAAAGAGTAAAGGAACTGTAGGCTGAAGAAACAGCTGGTGTTAAAATAAGAGAGCAGATGAGACGTTTTCAAATTACAAGTAAATGGGTACTTTTCAGTACCATAAGACCTTTATCTTGTAGGTCACTTTTTTTTTTTTTTTGGTGATCTGCAAGCATCTGATCATATTTACTCTCTCCCCATTAAAAAATTAGTGTAACAGCTATATTACCATCAATTTTAGAAGGCTTTTGAATTCCTAGCAAAACCGTAAGACCACATTCTAATTTAAAAACATCTATAGGACAACAAAGTCAGTCACAGATTATTAATTAGCAAGGAAGGGACATTACGCATTGTAATTTGTGTTTCAGATCAATGGTCACGGATGTGAGCCAGGTACTCAAAGGGGCTGAAAAACTCCACTGCATCAACAAGAGGGAGTGCAAGACTAAAACCAGTTTTTTCTTGTATTCCTTTCTCTCTGGTCTGGTAAGAGACTCAAACAGATCTGAACAGAAATAAGTGTATCTGAAAAGGCCAGTGAGGAAAGCTTTCTAGGAATAGGAATAGGAATAGGAAGTAAAACCCACTAGAACACATTTCCTTAACACAAATTAGCCCAGACATTCAGTGTACAGGTAGGATGATGATGTGGTGATAATGAGTTGAGGTGATTCACAATATGTTCATGTTTTGAAGTGCTAAGAAGGTACACGCTTCCTCATACAATAGAGATAACATGTCTTTTATGAAGGCTTTAACTAAAAAGCTGATAATATAGAGTACCTTCCAAAAGGCAATTAGATGCTGATAACAATGTCTTCAAGTGATCAGAGGAAGCAGTGAATACAAATGAAAAACTGTAAAAACATTTCCCCTGAATTATAACAAATTAATTAAATCTGTATTCAGGTTCAAATTTTGAAATTTTTATTATAAGAATATCCACACAAGTAAATGATATTCATAAGCAAATTGTCTTCCAAGGTCTAAATCACAAAGAAGGAAAATGAACCCTTATGACTATGAAGGACTGATGAACTATGATGCCAGGTGCAAACCCCAATAGCAACTCTGCCATGCTAGAAATCTGATTAGCACTGCTATTATTTTTCCTTATAAACTGGCTAAGAAGGTGCATAGGTTTTGAGTGTGATGCCCCAGTGCTGTTTTTTCACACAAGTCCCACTGTTTTCCAAAACAAACAGTAGATGCCTTCAGATGTTATTGTTAAAAGGAAAAAAAGAAGAAAAAAAAATTTGACCTCACAAGTACTCATCAAGACTCTTCTTCAAAGGACCTTGACCTTAAGACTTAAGAAACCCCAGACCACATCTGGAGAACAGCTAGCATAAACAATTACAAAATTGAGTAAGTAGAGCCATGTAGAAATACAAAGATATTATGAAGCACCTTGTCCAGACATACTGGGGATAGAGTTCAGGACAGGAACAGAAGGAATGGAAGATATTCCTAAACATGAAGCCTTAATAAACACAGACGGCAAAAGGAAAATGTATTCAGGGATGTAGAAATGACACTAAGGCAAAAAGCAATAAACGCAGCTCAAGGCATTACAAATAGTACAGAAAGCAGGGCTCAGTAAAGCTAGGAGGAAGAGGAATCAGTTATGCTCCCAGAGGACAAGCACTGAGCTTCAACATCTTCCTGCAGAAAAAGCAAACCAGAAGAGGCTATTAGGAAATGAAGGGATGCTATAAAACTAATTAAAAAATAGGATGTTAAGGAAAAGCCAAAACTTTATAAGAAAGGAAACACAATTACAATATAGTTGGCCTGTGGGAGACAATAGTCACACAGTCGTGATTTCAAAATCATAATTGTTTGTCTGACTTTACTTTAAACAGTAATTGAACCACACTAGAAAGATAAGAGTGTAGAGAAGGATATGATAACACATTATCTATGTTAAATGCTATCTAAATTTAATGAATAAAGAGTGGTAGAATCATCTTAATAATGTGGAGGTAACTTCCTTATGAAACTCACGCTAAAGTAGAACAGGTTAAAACTGGAACTGCTTTGTTTCAAAGGTTTGAGGAATCACTTGACTTTCTAACTGTGTATGTGGATTACTGAACAAAATTAACATGCAAAGGTCACAATGAAGGGGATATACATTTACACCAAATGAAGGATAATGAGGACATATGAGCAATAATGCCCTATGAAATAATTATGCACATTTAACAAATGAAATTGTCTATAGCAGAAAACTCAAGGAAATAAAGATTATAATATAAATGGTAAATTATACTACAGAGTTAGAGATGTCATTTTACCTTATGCATTGTTCCAGAAATTGGGCACAAATAGATTATTACAAACCATATCAAACCATTTTATAATATTCACTGATTTATCTATGATAGTATGGGCATTTGTAGAAAACCTGAAAACCAAGAAAAAAAGTATTATAATTTGTTATTTTTATTCTCTAAGTAGCTAAATGTTGTTTTGTAAAAATACAGTATTTCACCCACCAGCACCCGCCCAGACTGGCAAAGACCTCACAACTCTCTGTGAGTATCCCCCCAAACTGGTGAGACGCCAGACGCACATCACAGAGGGTACAAGAGCAGCCAGAGGCCTCACGATGTCTCACAAATTGCAGCCAGTATGGTTGAGCAGGGGTCTTGCAAACTATGTGGGATCCCAGCAGTACTTGCCTAGACTTAGAGAAGTCTCGTGACTTCCCACAAGATTCCCACCAGCATCTGCAGACTGGTGAGTCTCTGGACCCGCATCAGCAAATGAGCCAGAGTGGTCGGAGACCTCAGAATCTCCTGGGAGATGCCACCAGGTGTTTGCTGAGATTAAGTGAGAAGCCTGAACAATGAGGTAGGAGGAACCATGCCCAGAGGAAACCCAACATACAGCAGCTGGGTTCCAAAGCTAGTAATGGGCAAAGGCTTTAAAAAAAAAAAAGGCAACGTTGAGTCCTCAATGGAAGAGTACAACACAGAGAGAACAAATATTTAGAACCACAATCCATAGCTACAGAGCTATGTTCTCCCCATCAGGTAAGAGTTTAGATTTTAGAAATGCAATGACAAAGATATGAAAGAAAACTCAGAAAAACATGTAAATGTCCTTAGAAATGAAATGAACTGAAGACAAAAAGTGAAGCTCTAAATAAGATAAAAATGGAGTTTCAGGATTTCAAGAGAGAAATACAGCTGATGAAAAGTTCAGGAGAAAGTCACAAAGTAGAATATGTCGAGGGAACAACAAGCCAGTGTAATTGAAGATGAAAATGTAAAAAGAATCTGGGTAAAGAAAGACAAAAATGAAGTAAAAAAAGAAGAAAACACTCCAAGAACTATGCAACTCCATGAGAAAAGGCAACATAAGAATGACAGGAATAAAGGGGGGGAAGATAGAGAAAGAAACAAAAAATGCATTTAAAGAAATAGTGAAGGAAAGCATTCCAGAGCTATAGAAGGAAATGAATGTACAAATCCAAGAAGCCAAAAGAACCACAGCATACCTAGATAAAGTGAGACCAGCAACAAAACATACAGCAGTGTAAATTCCAAGAGTTCAAAACAAAGAATACTGAAGATGGGAAGACGGAAGAAAGAACGAGCCTACAACGGTACCCCAAGGGGTGAAAATCAGACTTCTCTGAAGAAACACTAGGAGGGTGGAGAGAATGGAATAGTGTGTTCCAAATACTTAAAGAGCAAAACTACCAGCAAAGAATGCTCTATCCTGCAAGATTATCCTTCAGATATGAGGGAAGAATAAAAGGACTTTGTTCAGACACAGAGAAAAATCAAGTTTACAAAACTAAACTACTCTCCAACAAATACTGAAAGGCATTTAACCATCAAAACCAAAAAGAGGAACATAACACAAAGAACTGGAAAAAAAAAAAAAAGACTGACCCACAAAAATTAAGAAATGGTAGCAAAAGATTAATATTGTATCAAAAATCACTTTCAAAGTAAATGAACTGAATTCACCAATTAAAAGACAGAGTATCTACTTGGATAAGAAAATAGACTCCAATAGAGAAAAATCCTGAACAAACCAATCACAAGCAAGAAAATTAAACATTAATCAAAAATCTCCCAAAGGAGGATCAGATGGCTTCACAAGTGAATTCTACCAAGCCTTCAAAGGTGAATACCCTATATTGCTCAAACTCTTCCAAAACATTGAATAAAAAGGATTACTTCCAAATACTTTTTATAAGGTCAACTCTGATAGCAGTAGACAAGGGCATTTAAAAAAAAGAAAGAGAGAATTACAGACCAAGCTCTTTAATGAACAAAGACAGACAGACACGAAAATCCTGAATAAAAACCTAGGAAAGTGAATCCAACAATGTGTTAAAAGGATGATACAACATAACCAAGTGAGATTCATACCAGGAACACAAGAATGGTTAAACAACAAAAACTGACATAATTCACAACATCAACAAGAAGGGAAACAGAAACCATAAGATATCAACAGATGCTGAGAAAGTATGTGATAACATCCAACATCCATTTATGATGAAAATCCTCAAAATTCTGGGGATAAATGGAATATACCTTAACATAATTATGTCATATATGACAAACACATATAGCTAGTATCAATCTCGATGTTAAAAAATTAAAGCTAAAACCTGGTGCAAGTCAAGGATGTCCCCTCACCACTGCTATCCAACAAAGCATTAGAAGTTCTTGCTAGAGCAATGAGCCAAGAGCAAGCTGTGAAAGGAATCCAAACTGGGAAAATAGAAATAAGCCTATCAGTATTTGCAGATGACATGATAATATACATAGAGAACTCCCAAGATTCTATGGAAAAACTAATCAAAACAATCAATTCAGCAAACTGGCAGGGTATGAAATCAACACACATCAATCAGTTGCCTTCCTACATACAAACAATGATAGAAGAGGAAGAAATTAAGAGTAATCCCATTTACAATTACACCTCAAAAAAATTTAAATACCTGGGGCCTCCCTGGTGGCGCAAGGGGTTAAGACACAACCTATGAAACTATCCGCAGCAGCAGCCACTGCAGCACGAGTTCGATCCCCAGTCAGGAAGCTACCCACATGGCACTGCAGACCTCTCCTGTCTCACCCACTGCTCCCTTCAGCAGTGTGTTTCAGTTGATCTGCCTGTTCTGTTCCCCGCTCTGTCTCTGGTAAATCCTCTCACCTCTGGCCTGTATCCCAGTTCTTGTATGCATAAATAATCTTAAAAAAAAAATTTACTTAAAACTAAACCTAACAAAGGGGGTATAAAATCTTTACAGAGAAAATGATAAGACACTGTTGTAGGAAATAGAAGATGACTCAAAGAAATGGAAAAAATATTCCCTGTTCATGGATTGAAAGAATCAGCATTGTCAAAATGGCCATCCTGCCCAATACAGATTCAATGCAATCCCAATAGAAATATCAATGGCGTTTTTTGAAGAACTGCAAATACTACTGAAATTCATATGGAACCAAAAAGGAACCTGAACAGCAAAAACAAGTCTGACAAAGAACTAAGAGAATGGAGGTATCACACTTCAGACCTCAAATTATATTATAAAGCTGTAATAATTAAAGGAGACTAGCACTTCAACAAAAACGGACACACAGACCAACGGAATAGAACTGGGAGCCCAGAAATAATCCCACAGATATATAGACTGTTAAACTATGACAAACGAGCCAAAATCATACAGTAGAGCAAGGACAGCCTCTTCATAAAGGGTGGTGAAAACTGGACAGCAGCATGCAAAAGAATGAACTGAGGCAACTAATTTCACACTATACACAAAAATTCAAAATGAACTGCAGACCTGGATGTTAAACCATAAAATAACACAGAAGAAAACAAAACATTTCAGGACAAAAGCTTTAGTGATGCCTTTAGGGATTCAATCCCAATGGCAAGAAATACAAAAGAGAACATAAACAACTTGTACATCAAAAGCTAACCTAAAAAGCTTCTATATAATAAAAGAATTCGTAACTAAAAAGAAAGACACATTACTGAATGGAAGAAAATACTTTCACACATACATCTGACAGAGGCCTGATATCAAAGATATACAAAGAACTCATGAAAGTGCACAAAAACTAAATAACCCAGTTAAAAAATAGGCAGAAGAATAGACACTTCTCCAAGGATATTCAAATGGCCAACAGGCACATAAAAAAGTGTTCACAACCACTATTAGAGAACTACAAATCAAGATCACAATGAAGTATCAAGTCACACTTGTGAGAATGGCCCATATCATAAAGACCAGAAACAAGAAGTGCTGGCAGGTATGTGGAGAAAAGGGAACCCTCATACACTGTTGGTGTGAATAAAAACTGATCCAGCCCTTATGGAAAAGCAGCATGGAGGTGTTTCAAAACATTAAACTTGGATCTGCCATTTGATCCAGTTTCCATTCCTAGGTATCTACCCAAAAAATTCAAAAACATTAATTCAAAAGGAAATTTGCATTTCTATGTTTATTACAGCACTTTTCACTGTTGCTAAATTATGGAGAAAAACCTAAGTGCCCACATAAAGGAAAATAAACACATGCCATTTGCAGCAACATGGATGGAGTCTGAAGGGACAATGCCAGATGAAATAAGTCAGAAGGATAAAGATAAATGCCGGATGGAACATAAAGTAACTAACCCAATAAAGACAAGCTGGAAAACTAACACTTTATAGCTGACTACATTACTGAGGCATCAAGGGGCGGAGGAAAAGGGGAGAGGTAAGAACAAAGAAAGAAGCAAGCACAGTCTATGGCAGTGAGCTGTGGTTGAGTTGGTGGTGGGTTCACCATGGTGGTAATACTTGATGGGGGTATCCCAATATTACCTCAGCTAAAAATAAATAATACAAAAAACAATTAAAACATAAAAAATAATACTGGCATTATATTGTTTATTTACTTGACTTTCATTTACTGTATCTTAAGCATTCCCTATGCCATCAACAATTCTCCCAAAATCCACAGGCATGATATTCCACATGTGCACCAGCACATAACCAATACCAACTGCCAGACAATGAGATTCTGAATTGATTGATAATCATTATACATGAGATGGCTGCAAAATAAAATTATAGTGAATATTTATAGAAACATAAATATTAATGAAATAAAATTAGTGAATATTTTGATAATCCAACAATCCTCTAACTTCAAATACACTTCATTTTTTATAAGAGTAAACAATATTAAGAGGTCATGAAAGTCATTTGCAAATTGAGATGACTTTATCTCAATCATAAAAATGTGCCAAATACAAGTCAAGAAAACAAGGTCGAGCTTTAGTTCCATTCATAACTATACTTTGCTATATATGGCTCTGGAGAACTCTCCAGAATATTATTTCCTCACCTATGAAATAAAGAGGCTAAATTCTAAAACTCCTAATG